GTCTAAGACCAGCTTTTAAAATTTTAATTTGTTATATATGACAGCAGAATGCATTACAATTCATATTATACATATAAAGCACAATTTTTCATATCTCTGATTGTATACAAAGTATATTCACACCATTTGTGTCTTCATACATGTTCTTAGGATAATGATGTCCGTTTCATTCCACCCTCATTTCTACCCCCGTGCCCCCTCCGTTCCCCTCTTACCCCTATGCCTTATCTAGAGTTCGTCTAATCTTCCCATGCACCCCCTTCCCAACCCCACTATGAATCAGCCTCCTTATATCAGAGAAAACATTCAGCATTTGGTTTTTTGGGATTGGCTAACTTCACTTAGCATTATATTCTCCAGCTCCATCCATTTACCTGCAAATGCCATGATTTTATTCTCTTTCATTGCTAGACAGACAAGCTTTATAGTATCAAAAGTAGAGATTACCCCTGCTTCCAGCAGGAGGATGTGATTGGTGTATTTCAGTGATTTCCTAGCTAGCAGGGGAACTGAAATGCAAGGCCTTTCAGAAGTCCTCACAGTTTCACCAGACATCAAGGCAGTATGTAATACCTTCATTTTAGGCCTTAAACTGTAACAAAACCCAAGAGAATGGGAGAAAATATTTGCAATCATACATCTGATAAGGGCCTAATATTAAGAATACATAAAGATGCCTAACCACTCATCAACAAAAAAGAGACAAACCAATTAAAAAATGGACAAAAGATTTGAACAGAGATTTCTCCAAAGAAGATATCTGAACATCCAGTAAGCATGTGAAAAGCTACAAACATCATTATTCAATAATATAAATAAAAACAGAACAAAAGATACCGCATCACATCTGGAAATACAAAATGGTGCAACTGCTAGGAAAACAGTCTAATGATTCCTCAAAAAGTTAAATACAGAATTGCTGTATGACTCAGCAATTTCATTAGTAGGCATATATTCAAAAGAATTGAAAATAGGTACTCAAACAACTGTATGTAAACACTCATAGCAACAGCAATAGTATTCACAATAGTCAAAAGGTGGAAATAACCCAAATGTCCATCAAGAGATGAATGAATAAACAAATGTATACACACTGAATGGAAGATTATTTGACTATAAAAATGAATGAAGTACTGATTAGGCTACAACATGGATGCATCTTGAAAACATTAAATACTAACTGAAAGAAGCCAGAAACAAAAAGGTCACATATTGTATGATTCCATGTATACAAAATATCTAGAATAGGAAAATACAGAGAGACAGAAAGCAGAATGGTGGTTGCCAGGGGCTGATGGAAGGCTAGGGATTAGGGAGTAACTGCTTAATGGATACAGGGTTTTCCTTTGGAGTGATAAAATTGTTTTAGAATTAGACAGAGGTTGCACAATACTGTGAAAGTACTAAATGCCACTAAATTATATACTTTAAAATCTTTAATTTTACGTTATATGAATCTTGTCTCCACTTTTAAAAAATGAAAGACAAGAAATTCAGGTCCTCAGTTTTATTTGTTTTTGAAACTGAAAAGAACACTGGGCTCAAAATCAATCACAACACTGAAAAAGGCACTGATTTAAACTATACATGTGCTTCTTAGCTGAGAGCCTTGGTAGACCAGATATGGATTTATTCCTTAATCTCTCAGAAGACTGGCTCCCACCCCCTTTTGTGGATACCAAAATCTGAGATTTTCAAGTCTCTTTATAAAATGGCATTGTATTTGCATATAACATATGCACAACCTTCTGTATACTTTAAATAATCTCCAAATTATTTATAATACCTAATGCAATGTTACTGCTATATAAATAGTTGCTATATGGTATTATTTAGTACAGACATATTTCTCCGTGGCTTATTTCTAGTCTAATTTTGGTGGAATTCCTGGATGCAGAATCCATAGATACCAAGGGTGGACGGTAGTACTCTAGTACTCATTTCCTCCACAGGTGCCTACCCATTCCTCTTTCCATCCCTCCACTTTCCTTCTAACTAGCACTTTCCTAAGTAACGCTTAAAGATTTCATTTCTTTATGCCATGAACAAAACATTCTTTCAATATAAAATGTAATTCTTAACCCTAACTGCACAGTAGAATCACTTCAGAAGTTTTTAAAAAATACCTAAAATCCCTATACTGGATCACAATTTCTGGGGAAAGGCCAGGAATCTGGGGATCAGATCATTTTTAGAAGCTTCCCAGATGACTTTAATGTGCAGCCAGTGATGAGAATAAGGTCTTAGGTTATTCTATATCCCTTTTCCCTTTAGCCTAGTGTGGTGTTTTCTAAATTCCAGTTATTCACACACCAGCATAAATCTAGAAATTTAGTGTTTTTCTAGAAATTTAGCCATTTACTTTAATTTTAAATACCTATCTATTTTCTCTAGTGTTGTTCTTTTTTTCATTCTCATACTGGTCATTTTGCCTTGTCTCTTCGGTTTCTAAATTAATCCTCTTAAAGGACTTATCAATCTAGTTGACTTTGGGTCTAGAACTTTTGCCTTTACTATTTTCCCCATTGCACAATTATTCATTTAATTTCCAGTTTCATCTTTATTATTTGCTTCCTTTTACTTTTCAAGCGCTACTTTGACTGTTCTTATGTGGCTTTAGATAGAGAATTAAATGATCTACACCTTACAACTTTGACATGTTATATTCTCATTGTCATTCAGTTTAAAATTTCCTTTTATTTGAAATGTTTTGAGACCCAGAATAACCATTTTTGGCATATGTGCCATGTGTGCCAGGAAAATGTATCCTAAAACCGTCTGTTGCAATATTCTTTATACATGCTAGGTCTACTTTAGTAATTGTACTGTTCAAATTTTTAAAATATTAATTTTTGCCTGCTTCTTTCTAATAATAGTTAATGAAAGAAAATTTAAAGTCCTCTACCATTAGATTTCCTTGTAGTTGTGAATTTTTGTCTATATTTCAAGTTATATTTTTAGACAGATAAATATAAATATTTAGAATTGACTGTACTGTCATAAAATGCCCCACATTATTTAAATTCCTTAAATTTTACTTTGTCTAATATTTGTATAATTATATTAGCTCTCATTTGGATAATATTTCTTTCAATATTTTTTTCAATATTTCAATACTCTTGAAAGCAGGATAAGTTTACTTTTTTATTTAGTGTGACAACATTTTTAAGAATATCAATATCATTTTCATTTAAGGTAATTACATGATAAATTTCGGTTTATACCTGCAAATTTACTATTTGTTTTCCATTTATATCGCAGAAACATAAATCATGTTTTTTTATTTAATGTTCACTTTTTTTCTTTTCTTGCCTTCCATTAATAAATCAAGTATCAATTTATCTCCTTTACAAAATTTTGCTTGCACAAAACAACTCTTTTAGTGGTTATGAGATTACAACATGCATCCTTGATTTATCAGAGTATAACAAATTACTATCTTTGCCACTGTCTAAGGAAAGCTAGAATATTAGAGTACTTTAATTCCATTTTACTCCATCTTATCTTTTGTCTTAGAATCATGCATTATAATGATTCTATATACACTTTGTGTATGGGTGTCTTATATTCAATAAGACATTACTAATTTGTTTCATACTCAAAATTAATTTCAATATACTTGTATTTATACTTTTTGTTGCTTTGTTCCTTCTTGCATGTCCATTTTTCTGGTTTTTCGTCAGTATATCGTTTAGTCTACACTTCAGTATATCGTTTAGTCTACACTGTGTATAGAATTATAAGTTGGCAATGATTTTCTTTTAATACTTTAAAATGTCATTGTATCACCTTTGTACCTTATTTCTTCTGAGAATGTAGCTATTGGTCTTATTATAAACCTTTTGGTAATAGCATGTCTTTTTCTCTTTAGTTGCTTTTAATATTTTCATTTTGTCTTGTGTTTTCAGCTGTTTAAATATTCCTATGTATGTTTTCTTGATCGTTATTATGTTTTATATTTAGTGTTTTTTGAAAACTGATTTTTGTAAACTGATTTCTTTGGTTAAATTTGAAATATTCTCAATCATTATCTCTTGAAATACTGTGTTTACCTGGTGCTCTTTCCACCCTCCCTATGACCACAAATACACATATATTAGACATTTCTACTGAGTCCTACATGTCTTGCACTTTATATTCCATCTTTTTTTGCTCTTTGTGCTTTAGTCAGAATACAGATGTTCCTTGACTTACAATGATGTTATCTTCCACCAAATCCATCATAAATTAAAAATACTGCAAATTGAAAATGCATTTAATACACCTACCAAACATCATAGCTTAGTAATACAGAACACTGTAGAATATCAGCTGTTACCCTCTTAATCTTGTGGCTGCTTGGCAGCTACAGCTCACTGCTGCTGCCCAGCTCACACAAGAGAGTATCACACTGCATATTTCTAGCCTGGGAATACATTAGGAATTAAAAATTCTAAATACAGATTCTACTGCATGAATATTGCTTTTTACACCATTGTAAAGCCAAAAAATTATCATTTGAATTATTGTAAATCAGGCACTCTTCATATTTTTTTACTGCCCTATCTTCCAGTTACTGATCTACTTTTCACTTATGTTCAATGTGCTGCTAAGCCTTTTATCCTTTTCCTACTTGTCTCTCTGACAAATCTTTTAATCATTTCACTTATTGAGTGACAGGCAACAGGTATTGTGAATATTTACAGAGTATAAGAGATTGACCCTCGACAAAAGTAAAGCAAATGAGTCAGTTTTGCTAACATCAGCAATTTTTTGAAGTATAGGACTTGAACCACTAGAATCTAAATGAATAACTGTATTATATTTAAAAGAAATGGAGTCTACACCCATACCACCCTGCATGTGTCCGATCTCATCTGATCTTGGAAGCTAAAAGAAATGGAGCACTTAACCAAATTTATATAAAAATTGCCAGATTTAGGTCACATTTTATATTTTTAATATAACCCATGTTTCATCTAGGCTTCATTTTAAAAACATGAAAAAAAAAAGACACTTACTCTCTCTCCTTTTCAGTCAGCTTGTCATTGATATTATCTTTGATTGTTGATCTAGACCCCTTATGAATTATAGGATATCTGAGGGGCACTTGTAGGAAAAAGGAAATCATGGAGACCAAATGTGCAGTGTAACCAAGGGCAACAGCAATGCTTCCATCATCTTTTGCTGTAAATTCGAAAGCAGAGGAAAAGAAAACAACCATTTACCTTATAAATGTAGCTATGAGATAATAATAAATTAATTTCAAAGGAGATTTATAAAAATAAATGACAAGATATTAATCACTTATCTAATTATATAAATTTTATACAAATCTAAACACATTTTAGACTTGAAACTTTATCTACTATCTATATTTAAAAGTATTTCTCACTAATTAAATGATCACATTTACAGACATATACCTTAAGCAAGAGTTCTTAGTATATCCAAATACCTATTACTTCCTTTCTGAGCATTTTTAAAAGGGGAATTAATGCTTGAAACTATTACATAATGTGAAAATTAGTTTCAGAGGTTTAACACTATATAATCATTTTATATTCATTCATTTATATTCATTAACAACTTTCTAAGCAATATAGTGTTGTGCTATTATGCAACATTGATTCTGAAGTGAAGTAAAACAGCATGGTATATTCCTTATAGGATATGTTTATTTATGTGAGAAAGGGTTACATGAATAAATCTATGATATTTGAGAATGGACTAAAAGAAAAAAAATATTTTATTTATTTATTTTTGGTACCAGGGATTGAACCCATGGATGCTCTACCCTGAGCCATATCTCCAGTCATCTCCAGTTCTTTTTAAGACAGGGCCTTGCTGAGTTGTTTAGGGCCTCACTAAGTTGCTGAGGTTAAGCTCTGAACTTGTAATCCTCTTGCCTCAGCCTTCTGAGTCACTGGTATTACAGGCGTGTGCCTGGCATGATAAAAATATTTTAAACAGCAAGAGTGAAAAGTCAAAAACTTAGTGAGACCCCCAAGCAACTTAGTGAGCTCCTGTCTTTAAATAAAATACAAAAAAGGGATGGAGATGTGACTCAATGGTTAAGTGTCCCTGGGTTTGATCCCCAGTGGGGGAGAGAGGAACCCACACTGTTTATACACTAACCTATGTTTGCAATTTAGGTGGAAGTTATTGCTAAAACATGTTTGTGTCACACAGTTAAACATAAGCATGTAGCTTCTTAAAAAGCATAATTACATTATAAAACTCATTATCCAGATTTCTGCCCCTACCTATCAAGGGATAAATGATGAACTTAGAATAATGCAACAGAAAGTTTTGAACTTCCCCAGAAGGAAGGAAAAAGTAACTGCTTGGTATACAGTATTCCTAAAATAAGTTATAAAGTACACACACACACACACACACACACACACGTACTTGCACATACACTCCTACTAAAAGATTTTACATTAATCTGGACTAGCCCAGCTCTCTAGAGAAGAAGGGCTAAAATGATTGCGATGACCATGGCTTGATCATTCCCTGAGCTCTAAGGGCACCTTCAACTTCAATTATTAATAATACTTTTCATATCCTTTTGTACTTATATTTAATTATCTAAGCTCTGCTTTCTTATGGTAAGGATGTTACTACAGCTATCCATTGCTCAGTGAATTCTCTACTCTTGTTACCATAATTGACTGCTGGGTTCTCTTTGATCATCTAATAAAAAACAGGCTACTTTTACAACTATATATATTTCTTCTGTCCAGAATCAAATGTAGTACCTTATATTTGAAAATAATTCATTCACCAAGAACTACTAAACTAGATATTTTTTTTAATGCCATTTCATTCATTTTACAGATAAAACAAGGCTCAAAGAGATTAAGGAAGCTGTCCAAAGTAATACAGCTAGTAAATAAGTTGGCCTGATGCCAAATCCTCCATCCTTACTACTACTATATCAGTTATATCATCCTGTCTTAGAACTTTAAATCCATCCTTACTACTACTATATCAGTTATACCATCCTGTCTTAGAACTTTAAAGTTAAAAAACTAATATGCCATAATTTAACTTGGGAGCTTGGGATATGCCAAGCTTATAAAACTCATGTAATTACTTCATACTTTTCTAGTAAGGGCAAAGAATACACAAAAATCTGAGTACTTGATGATCTGTATAGTGCTTGACAGAAAAGGGGTTTCTCAACCCATGTTTGCCATTCTTTCAAAACAAACTCATGAAAACAAAAATCTAACAATATTCATTTGACCACTAAGTCATGTCCTCACTAGCTAGAATACTATATTTAGAAACCACGTCCTTTTGCCTCAGTCTGTCCCAAGTACCTTGATTTATATTCAACACTGTGCTTCTATCAAAACCTGTATGTCACACTACCTAAGAAACTAAAATTATGAATTCATCATCCAATAATATCAGAGCTAGGAGAAACCTTAGAAACCACTGAGTCTGACACTATTAATTTAGGAGAAAAATGAGGTCCTAGGGATATGGCTTGGTCAAAGTCATATAGGTAAAAATCACAGTGATGGAAGTGGGAGAATTGCATCCACACCTCAGACTATCTCTGCTCCAAAAATACCTAGGTCTGGTGGCACAGCTGGGACTGTGAGTTCTTTCCCAGGTTGCGGAAACATGCTTCCTACTTTCTGTAAAGAACAGAGCTTACCAAACTAAAAATATTTCTATGAGTAAAAGGACTTTAAGAATCTTTAAGAATCTTCTTTAGAAGGAAGAGAGGAAGAAGAGGACTTAGAATAATGAAGGATAGTATTATGCAAAATTGGGACTTTTCTATGTGTGCTTTATACGAGGTTTTTCCTTTCCAACATGACCTGACAGAAATGGATTTGAAAACCTCCAGAAAGCAACAAGAATCCTCTTCATCTGACTTCCACATAGGTCAAAAGAAAACTACGATTGTTTTAAAAAAATCTATCCAGTGCTAAACCCTCAAGCATCTACACTTTTTTCTCATACTATGAAAGGGACAATGCTAAAGAACCACATTTGCATATTTTGAGACTACATACACATCTTTCTTAAAAGAACAAAGAAATGTTCTTTTAAAATTACCTCCCCCAATTAACAAAATAACTTTGCTTAAAATTTTAAAGATAAAATGGCATCTCTAAGAGAAGGCTACACATAGAAATCAAAACCCAAAAGGAAATAGCAAACAATGAAAATGAAATAATATTGGAAATCTGCTTTGATTCAAGTTATTCACACTCACCATTGTTGCCACAAGACTCCCCGCTCTACCTATTAAAAACCCTAGGTTGTTTCCCATTTCAGGCCACAGTGCTCCATCACAGCCTCACTGTTAAACACTGTGGTGTTGGATTTCCAATATTGAGGCTTTATATTAAAAAGCATTTTAAAAGGACCATGGGTGAAGCATTACAGGACTCAAGGGTATTGCAACACCCTCAAAAGGAAAACCACCTCCCGGTAGGGAAGTCACTTTCATCACCCCAAGACCACTGAGCCTCCTGTGGGAAAATGTGAGCTCATGTGGTTAATTATGGGTATTGCAGGCCATGCAACCTCAGATGTCACATTCTGTTGCCAATCACTTTAGCTAAAAAACCAAAAGGTTTAAGGTTTCCAGCATTTCAAGATCTGAAAGACTTTTTACCTGCCAAAGCCAAAACATGGCCCTCTTGGGTGTACTTTTCCAGTAAGCAATAATGACGTCCGTAACACCTAATGCAGAGCAGAGGTTTGTATTTCTTATACTGCTCTGAGGGTTAGAAAGGTCACAGATGATAGTTTTGTCGGTGAGAAGAAATTGGAGGGGGAATCAAGGTCCGGGGAAGAACAGGAACGAACTGTAAGACTCAGGTATGTGAAAAAGATACTAATTCAAACAATGTTTTAAGGGACTTAAAAACAAAACAAAAGCCCACAGTTTCCCCATAATAAATATTTCTGACTTGTGTTTTAAATATAGGAAGCCACTCAAGGCTGCAGCTGTTGTGTAATTTTTATGACAATAAATCCTACAAACACACAATGGCCATAACATAAATTAGTTCAAATGTTCCTTTGATTTATATGTTGGACAAACTATTAATATTCAAATGCATCCAAGTACAATAAGTGATCTAAAAGCTCTTACCATCCTGCCTTCCCAATCACTGAGGCAGCTGATTTGTTAAGGAACCAAGCACCCACTGATCCAGACAGGACAAAATATTTAAGACTCTAATCACTGCCACAGCATCTATGGAATCAGTCCATGTTCTCAATGAGACACTGTTTGACATATGGACTCTCCTTTCCAAGAAATCATGCCTGCATAAAGGGATACAGACACAGAAGGAAATCTGGGTCTCATTACCACAAAAGGCTCTCGTGTTATGGATTACTTAAAAACACACGCAAAAACATTGTTTTTTTTTTTTTTTTTTTTTAAGCTAAACGTCTTAGTCAATGGAACTCAGATGAATACCCTTCACAGTTTTCTTCCATTGTGTCCAGTTCTCTTTGTCATACTCTAACAAGAACTTACCCATCTGGAAAAGCACAATGAATGCTGTGTTGGGCCCCTATGTTGTAGTTTCCCAAATAGTATCAACCTATGCAGTATAAAGTCTATCCAGGAAAGTCTCATGAATAGCACAGGAGTGACCAGTTTGGAGTTCCTTCACTATAGTGTCTCCCAGTATGCAGCTGCTATAGAATACTAAAAAGTTGTCAGAGGCTTAGAAGAGGTTACTATTCAAAGCAAAGAAGGAAATGACACCATGGCAGGAATAATATAGAGCTTAGAATAAGGCACACTAGTGTTAACCTTAGCTTTATCACTGTTAATATGAGTCCTTGTAAAAATCAATCTCTCTGGGCCCCAAGTTCTTGTCTTTAAAAAATATCTAGAGTAATTCCTTTCTTCACAGAGGCATTAATTCTCATAATTATGAGATTAAAGTAATAAATTTGAAAACATCATGCATGATGTCCCAAGTTACCACATTTCTGCTCACCCAACCTAAAATGTCCCCCCATGCTTCTTTCCCCAGGGGAACAGCTATTTCTTAAGATAGCTCATGCATCGTCTTCTCTATAAAGTTTTCTTCATCCCCTCCTGGTAGAATTGATTATTCCTATTTCTTTGAGTCCCAAGTACCTGGTATAACCCTCTAAGTGCCTAACATAGAGTACGGATTCAGTAAATATTTCTTGACTGGTTTGATTACAAATATAATGCTCTCAATAAGACTATTATTCTCATTAACTTTGGATCAATGTCTTAATTTTCTTTGTTTATTCTCAGCACCTGCATAGCAGATAAGAAACAGGCACTCAACACATTTACCCATATTGAAGTGTCTTGCAGAGTGCTAAAATTAAAATTTTAAAGTCCAGTACTACTATACATGCTTCTTAAAATTTCTGATTCCTAGAAGTTATAGGGAATGAATAGGACCTTAGCATAAAATTAAACTTATTTTTATCTCCCATTTCATTTTTCAGCAACTGCATTAAAAGGTTACATTAATTTTTTAAAGGTTAGGGAGAATGTATATGGGCTTAATTAGGCATTCTAAATGTAGTATAAAAGCTATGAAAAACTAGGAAACAAGGCACTTGAAAGAAAAGGAAAATAGAACCAAGACCCTCCCCACCACCAGTAGATTAAAGTTAACAGACCACCACTACTGCTCTTCCGCTTCCCTTACTACTTTTACTACTTCTTCAAATAATTCTGTATTTAACAGTCAGAATGACTGTTACAAGCATTGCTCAGCTCACATCATTCTCCTTCTTGAAACCTGCAGGCGTTGCCCACTTCATTGAAAATAAAATGGAACTTCTTTAGTGTGACCTCCAGGTCCTGGATGACCCCTCCTTCCAGCGCTAACAGAACTCTTTGCCTTGTTCACTGTGTTCTGGCCACGTAGATCTAGATGGTTTGATCTTTCCTTCATTCCTTTCCTTTCTCTCTACTTTTCAATGAATTCCATTATATTTATTGCATACCTCCTATCTGAGAAGTTCTTTCTAATGTGATCTCATCCCATCATCACAATGGATTAAAAATATAAACATGACCTCATTTTACAGGTAAAGAAATTAAGCTGCGAGATTACATGATTTACCTAAACGAAAATCTTTTCTCCCATACCCGTGGCCCGGGGTCTTTTTCAAACTTTTTCAGGTATGTCAAACTCATGCCTCCTCCATCATGACTTTTGAACTTAATGCTCTCTGTTCTAGGAATACCCCAAGCTGTAGTATAGTGGCTCCTTTTAGTCTTTAAGATTTCTGTTAAATGTTTCTCTTCAGAGAGGTCTTCTCTGATTGCTTTATTTAAAGGGGGTTTCTTCATTCTTTAAGATAATATATCCCTTGATTAAATGCTTATTAATTCTTATTTTCCTATTCATTGGTCTGTTTCAATAGGCTGTATGCTCCATGAAAGGAGAGATTTGCTTTTTCATTATTATATCCTCAAAATTCAGCACAGTGCCTGCCATATAGGTGTTCAACAAATTATTTTTTCAATGAATGAATGAGGAAAATGATGTGCCAATAGCTTCAAGAAGCCACAACTGTGCCCAAAATTAATACCAAAGCACATTTTGTGGGACCTATAGAAATCTGAAGGCAACAATGGCAACCAGATAAATCTTAGCTCTATCACCACCTAGCTCTGTAATCTTGAACAAGTCACTGAATACCACTTTCCTTATAGGCTTCCTTTGGTTTTGTGAGGATTAATATAAAGCAAAATCTCATGCTTTTACAAATACTGGTATATCTCAATTTTTACAAATATGTAAGACAGGTAGGATATAATATCCTTATACCATTGATTAGGAAATCAACTCAAAGGTTACATACAAGATTTCCTCCAAACTACATGGTTTCATGGAAGGGGAATCAGGAGTTGAACAAAGGTTTTCCAACTCTTGGTTTACCACTCTCTTTACATCATGACCCAACTACCTCTTGTAAAGGCTGAAGAGGATAATAAATTAAAACAGTCTTAAATGTTCAAGGACCACAAATATTAATAGTGTCTTTAAAGGGAAATGGAAGAAAATCCTGATCAAAACTAGTAATGCTCCCTTCTTGTATAACTAACTACCCAAACAGGTTTAATATGTTAGCTCTGAGAATAATTTATAAAGATATTTAGTAGGTCTCAAGGCATCATTTATACTAAGGGAAAAGAAACCATTTTGAGAATCTTTTTTCCTTGGAATAGTTGGGGAGATTAGAAAACAGAAAAGATTTTAAAATGTAGGAATTATTGTAAATCATATTCCATAACACCTGTGTGTAAAAGGAGAGAAATGATAGTACAACAAATTAAACCTATGATAGCAGGAATGTCACAAAATTAAATTTGTAATACTTTTCAGGTTAGTAGAATAGAGCTTTGTAAAAAAAAAAAAAAAAAAAGTACAGATAAATGTTTGCTTTTCTTCTGCTGCCAACCACATACAATTTTTCATGAAAATCAAATCAACAGGGTAGGGAGATTATTTGTATTCTTAAGAACCCAATTCCCTGATTTGCTTAAAGCTCATTTAAAAATGATTTGTTTTAAATTTCAAATGCAAGTTACAATAATTAGTTTTCCAAAATTAAACCAAATATTCTGTTATATCTTCTATTAGTGAATATGACCTACATTCTTCTAAGTGGGAGGAGACAGAAGGTGCAAAAACACTTATGGACAAAGGGCCAAGCAAACAACATTTCAAGATATCTCTATCCTCATATATTACATACACCAAATCTTTAGAAGTAAAATAGAAATAAAGTACCTTGGAAATCCTCAGAATTAGGTAACTTGACACCGCATACAAAATAATCCTTATGCTCATTCTGTGAATTTAACCAAAAAATGAAATTAATTTTTTTATATATAAAGCAAAGAAACTTTAGCAGGTCACAGTTGACTTAGATATAATGCAGTCTTAGACTCTAAATATTATTATATTTGTTGAAACAGGGTGATGAGACATGATGATTCAATATTCTATCTTCCTGTAGTTATACATACTTTTTTTTTTAGTGAGAGAGGGAGAGAGAAAGAGAGAGAATTTTTAATATTTATTTATTTTTTTTAGTTATCGGCAGACACAACATCTTTGTTTTGTATGTGGTGCTGAGGATCGAACTTGGGCCGCACGCATGCCAGGCAAGCGCGCTACCGCTTGAGCCACATCCCCAGCCCCTAGTTATACATACTTAAAATTTTCTATAATAAAAATGTTTAAGACATCATGTCTAGGGAAAACCATGAAATATTATTATCATAAAAATATTTTCCAACTGATTCTTATCTATAAATGATTTAACAAGATTCTGTGAGCAAGTTCAAATCCTGTTTGTCGTTTTCTCTGAAAATTAGTCTTTTACATCAATTTTCATTGAGAACTATCAAATCTAAAAGATTCAGTTTTACAAAAAAGGAATCTGGGGCTGGGGTTGTGGCTCAGCAGTGGAGTGCTCGCTCAACACATGTAAGGCGCTGGGTTCGATCCTCAGCACAACTTATCTAATTAGTTTTAGATAAAATAATTTAAGAAGCTAATTAAAAATGTAACATCCAGTCACCCCAGGAATATCTTAATGAACACCAATAAATATAAATGAATTAGCAATTATATTTTTGAGGCACTGTACATGCATCTGTAGGTAGATAACAGAAATGGTAGTAGTGGATAATCTGGTTAACTAAAAAGAGTATAAAGAAACAAAAAGGCATTTTTCTATGATGAATCCCATCTCACAACCAAAATGATATTAAAAAAAAATTAAACAGCAGATGCTAATGCCAACTAAGTATTAATTTACATTTAAAACAGATACTAGCTCCTGAATGAGCCATAAGGGAGCATATGGGATTAAGACTAATGAGCTTTTCATTGAGAGCAAACTTCAAATGGAGATCATCTTTTCAAAAAGATAAATCTTTTCAGAAAATATGAAACTTACCAAATCAATAGGGTAAATGTAGGAAAGCTCAGAAAGTAACTGCCTACAACGAATTGTCAACTGAGCATTAGTCTTCAGAAAGAGTTCTCTAATGAGGAAAGAAAACAAGTACTTATTAGAAAATGTGATTGCAATTCACAATAGACAAGTTACAGAACCAACCCAGGTGTCTGTCAATAGATGAAAGGATAAAGAAAATGTGGGAATATATAACACAATGGAGTTTATTCGTCTTAAAGAGGAGGAGGAAGAGGAGAATGAAGTTATTTGCAGCAAAACAGATGAATCTAAAGAGCATCATGTTGAGCAAAATAAACTAGGCTCATGTTTTCTCTTGTATGTGTAGGCTAGAGAGAAAAAAAGGGATTTCAAAAAGACAGAACGGAGACCATGAAGATAGAGGAAGAGAATTAGGAGGAGGTTGGAGGGGAGGGCAAGGAGAGGGACTGGCAAATGAAATTACTCAAATTACATTATGTGCATGTACCAATATGTCACAATAAAATATACTATTCTGTATAATATGTACCAGAAACATTAAAAAAAAACATGTATGCATGCTTTTTAAACATTTATTCTACACAGTTAATGCAGAAAAAGATTAAATGGTCTATAGGCCACAGAAAATTAAAAAGTAGAGGTACAAATAATACCCTGAACTCTCTCAAATATCAATTAAGCTAACTACAAAATGAGGGCTATAGTGTATGCCCAGCACCATGCTAAGGAATGTAAAGTGCACAAATAACAATTCACTGAGTACCTAGAGCTATACAAATGGCTTTATTTAATTATTTCAACAACTTTAGTAGGTTGATATTATGATGCCCATTTATAAATAAGGAAACAAGGTTTAAAGGGGCTGAGTAAACTAAGCAAGGTTTTGTAGACATTATTTAATGAGGCCAATTGATTTCAGGAAAGATCCATATGGTGCTTCTCAGAAAACAAACAACAACAACAAGAACAAAAACTATTCTTCATCCTATTACAATGTTAGAAAAGTAACAAAGAACAAATAAGCAAACAGCTGTAGCATGAACGACCCAGCTCTTTTCTTTAACTAAGAAATATGACCACCAGGGCTGGGGAGGTAGTTCAATGCTAGAGTGCTTGCATGTAGGAGACCTTGGGATCCATCTCCAGCAAAAAACACACACACATGCACATACACACACACAAATATGACCAACATAAAATACTCATAGAATAAATTACCTGCTCAATTAAAAGACATCAAAAATTTAAGAACCAAAATAATGTAGAAGAAACTATAGGTCAAAGTGAAATGGAAAAGGTATAGAATGGAAAAGGTGAGGAACACTTTGATATAGTATGAAATACATATGGCCTTTGTTCTAGGTCCCAATCATAGAACACCTAAAACCCTAGGAATTTCCTAAGTGATAGGAGTATTGTTTTGTTATTCATTTAAGCCCACACTGATCATACCTAAGCTTATGACAATGAGGTGACTTAGGGTCACCTAAGGATAGAACTGGTCACTAAAAAGATCAATTAATTAGGGGGCTGGAATTTTCAGTCCTACCCACCAATCTCTTAAGATGATGACGAAGGAGATCAAGGCTGGAAATTGAGTGCTTTAAAACTTTTGAGCAAGATATGATAAGTTTCTAAATTGTGGAGGTACCCTGAGGAATGGCATACCAGAGTAGGCATAGAACTTCCCTCATACCTTGCCCAATGCCTCTCTCCTATCTGCCTGTTCATTTGTATCATCTGTAATAACCTTTATAACAAATCAGTAAACCTAAGTGTTTCCCTGAGTTCTGTGAGCCACTCTAGTAAATTACAAATTAATCAAACCAGAGGAGGGGTCTGTGGGAACCCAGTTAATTTAGAATCACAGGTCACAGTCTGGGTCTTGTGATTAGTATCTAATTGCGGGGTGGGGGGGGGTCTTGGGAACTGAGTATAGATAATTACATCTTCAGGCAGATAGTATAAGAATGGTATTAAATCATAGGATACCTGTTGGCATTTGCTGGAGAATCTGGCATTAAATGTTATATGTGAGAGTAGGAAAAGAACTGTTTCTCCTCTTATATAAACAGCACTGAAGATGTAATGGGATCTAGTTCTGGCTTTGCTAGTGAGCTGGACAAGTGAGTTCCCAGAGTTGCTTTCCTCTCTGCAAATTTGAGGATTAGGATAGATGGTGTCTATGTTTTTTTCCTGGTCTTAATATTCTTGAATATTCAATTGTTAAGGTTTTTCAGAGAAAAGTGCAGGATGGAAAGACTCCAGGAAAGTGAGTCAAGATGAACAAAGGAAGTGAGGTGGCAATGAATTAATCATGAAATATGTTGGGAAAAACTATTAGCATCTTTCTATGTTAGGGAGCACCTAAAATTAACTGTAGTTGTATAATGACAAGTGACTGGAGCCTATGTGAAAAATGAGGAAAAGATTCACTATAGAAAGAAGAAAAAAATGTTAAAAATAGTATTTTAAGAAGAGAAGTCTGAGAGCATCATGGAGGGATGACTATAAAGGTAGAGAAATCAAGGGTAGAGAAATTTTCAAAGTGCTGCTGAGGTAAACCAAATGAATTATCAAGAAGCAGGAGTGGGACAGAAGAAACTATTAAAGAAAAAAACTACAAGCTAAGCTGTATATAGATGACAGGAAGAAGATTCAAATATTATGCCATGGTACTGTGGCCCAGGGAATTTAGAACAGTGTCATATCTCTGATAAACTCAACCCTCATAGCAATTTTTCTCAGTGTTGAATTTACCTTTTTGCAGTGCACTCTTTCCTCAACTCATTTAGGGATTCCTTCTGGAGCTGAAGCTTGAGGTGCTCAGTTGAAAACGCGCTTCCTAGAAAGAGAGATGAAGGGAGACAAGTCCAGATATAACACTGCAGATAGGACTATGCAACCACAACCACACAGGTAGAGTCCAGTCCCCTGACAGTGAGAGCGAAATAAAAAGAATGAGAAGGCAAAGCAGGCTGGGCATAGATGTCTGCAATTTTCACCTAAGTCTAGCCCCTAGCAAGAACCTAGCAGGGGGTCTAAAAATCTCTATCCATAATTTCTGGACTGATGAACAAGAAACTTGGATAAGATCTCAAAATTCAGGCTTCACTTAAAAAGAGAGTGGTTAATTTCTTTCCAGCCATAAATACTATATAAGAACATTACTGAAAATACAAAATGTAGAACAGGAAAAATTACTTGCATTTTAATTACTATAATACAGTTCATAAATATTAGTAGTTTCCATGAACTTTCATCTTGCTTTTAATACAAATAGTTTTAGTGAGAATCACAGGCTATAGGAAATATGTGTTCTGAATTTTCAATATTATGTCATGAGCATTCTTACATGTTGACAGTCCAAAGTCATGCCTATATAAAATTTAGCTCCATAGATGTGAATTATAGGAAGATTCCACATTTTATCTGCTACCTTCATATCCCAATCCCATTACAGAATATTTAATTGCCTTTAAGTGTTTGCTTTAGATTTTTAATGATTAAAATTTCTGTTTATATCTCGGAATGTTGTGTTTATATCAGTTTTTGGAACCTCTATTTTTGTAATCATAAAATCCTTTTATATCTTCCTACTCTGAAAAAATGAGGGCCTCTTACATTCTTGACAGTCTAGGGTTGATTACAACTTAGGAGGTCCTCAAGCACAGAGAAACACACTTAGATCGTAACACAATATGTTTTATATTTTACAAAGGAGTTTAATTTTGTGAACTGTGACCCAATAAGAAAAAGATCCTCAACTCTCTGCATACCTCCTATTTTTACAGAGAAAAAAGAAAATTGGATAATTGACCAAAATACACAGTTTGGACCTGTTATAGTTTGAATGTGAGGTTTCCCCCAAAAGCTCACTTGTGAGATAATGCAAAAAGTTCAGAGGAGAAATGATTGGGTTGTGACAGCCTTAACCCAATTACTGAATTAATCCCCTGATATGGATTAACTGAGTGGAAACAGAAGGCAGGCAGGGTGTGGCTGGAGGAAGTGGGGCATTGGAGGCGTGACTTTGGAGTATATACTTTGAATCTGCCAAGTGGAGTGTCTCCCTGATTTCTGATCATCATGTGAGCTGCTTCCCTCCACTACACTCTTCCACCATGATGTTCTGCCTCACCTCAAGCCCTGAGGAATGGAGCCTGCTGTCTGTGGATTGAGACCTCTGAAATGGTGAGCCTCCAAATAAACTTTTCTTCCTCTACAATTGCTCTGGTCAGGTCATTTAGTCACAGCAGCAAAAAAGCTGACTAAAACAAAATCTTAACACTAAATCCACCAACTTAAGCAGTTGTATCACATTTCTAAACACTCTTCTCATTTCTCAACTTTAAAGTTCAGTAAATAGAAAACTGCCCCTGAACACAACTTAATCAAGGACCACCACTTATCTTCTTTAGCCCTTACTATAATCCCTCCTAGACCTTTACCGTAATGACTTTTTAAGCATTTAGGTTGACACCCACACCTACATACTTTCAACAAACTAGTCTGTGAATTCTTCCACCAGTATAAAAATCTGCAGTATTACCCTTCATCCCAAATACATTAGGCTGCCTCAACTCTAACAGTGGTAGCAAAACCACAAATAGGGATCCAAGAGAGAATGGGCTTCAAAATACATATACATGTATTTTCCTCAATTTTGAAAATGGTAAAATCCTTGCAAATGTGGTAGAAAAGAAAATTAAATATAATTTCTAAGTAGCTAACAGGTTAATATGTCAACAAAAGATAAATGTGGATGAAAACTATAGGTGTTCTCTGTATTCTTTTCCTTGTAAATTTTCTGTAAGTCTGAAATGATTTTCAAATAAAAAGAGCAGATCCAAATCCAAAAAAGGGTCACTGGAGAGGCTATAATTTTCCATAGGCTTCATCAGATTCAAGGACTTAGAAATCACACTGGTATCATCCCTCCAACACATATCAAGTTCACTTTTCTGTTTAAAGGAATACAGTTCACTGGTTATAGGTTGAGTTCTGTAATAAAACTGAATTAAGTTGGGGTTAGGCTCAGGCAGATAAAAACTAAATATATGAAGATACCTCAGAAAACTCAACTTAAATTCTAAAAGGAAAAATACTACCGTGGAAATGATGTCTCTATGGAGGGTGTTTGATATTGTGTCCTTCTAAGATGTCACAGCTGGAAGCAATGATGTTAAAGTGGGTTCAATCCCCACCATCACCACCAAAAAAAAAGAAAAAGTGAATCTAAATACACACACACACACACACACACACACACACATCTCCTGCTTCTCATCTAAAGTTCTTCCTAGATTTAGCATTTATCTGTGATTTTTGCTGGAATCAATCTTTCCTACACAGTTGCAAAATAATGCCCAACTCCAGCACAACCTCCATATTTATTAGTTGCACTCAGCTTTCTTCTCTAAGCAAGAGTCTTTCTACCTTTTCCCTTAACTATTACCAGTGAAGAATCATGGATTCTTCTTTATTTTTCAATGATTTATAATTCATTACTATATATAATTATTTTATATATAGTAAATATATAGGCTCCAGTGTCCTTGTGACATGCTACCATATTGTTTTTTGAAATAACTACTTTATTAACATCTTACTTTCTGTAATGATTCTCCTTACCATTCCTGATATTGGTAATTTGTGCTGGCTTTCTTTCAACTTGTTCAGTCTGACTATAGGTTATTTTAATAATCTTTTCAAACAACTATCTTTTGGTTTTATTGATATCCTCTACTCTTTCTGTTCTCAATTTCAGAGAATTCTATCCTTCATTTTTTCCCCTTCATTCTGATTTATTTTCTAGTTTTATGTTATTGATTATTGATTGAAGATCTTTCTTTCCTAATGCAAGTTTCAAATGTTTAACTTTCCTCTAAGCTTGCATCCCTTCACATGTTCATATGTAACAGTTTCATGAGTTAATATGGTATGTTGGGTAATTTCTAAGTATTTGAAATTTGCTAGATATCTTTGAATTAGTGATTTCTAGCTTATTTCTGTTTTGGTGAGAGAACATGCTTTGTATGATTTCAATTATTTTGTATTTGTTAACAAGTTCTATGATACCAAATATGGTCTAAAAGAATGTTCCAAGTATACTTGAGAAAAAAGTATATTCTGGTAGAGTTCAGGGGAGTGGTAATTTGAGAGTGTTTTTGAAGTCTTTTATTCTTGGTAATTTTCTATCTGTTCTATCAATTACTGAGAGATGGGTATTAGAGTTTCTAATTATAATTATGCATTTGGCTATTTTTCAACTAACCACAAGAAGTTTAATGCTTTTGTTCTTAGAGAAGGACTATGCTTTTCCTGCAATAGTATCTGCTCCCCTCTTCCAGATGTAAACCTTGGATTAACTGCCCTGCCTACAACCTTCCTTCTGAATATGGAATGGAGGACCATGCAGAAGTTGTGTAGCAAGTGTGAACTGCCTTATAATTGCTAGGGTTTCATACTAGCCCACATTTGACCATAACTACTTGTTAAAAGCTTTAGTTGAATTATTTTATCTTCTTATTCAGTGGTCCTAACTTCTTCCAGTGCTCTGCCGTTCGTGATCAGTACTCATATCCTTTCTCATTGGAGGTGCGTGTCTTTCCTTACACATTGGGCTATGTGGCTGCCCTGAGACCCATTTCTCAGATAGTTTCATGAAAAGTTATGACCTTATACAGTTTCCTATGTCCCAGGAAAAGGCTGGAAGTCAATTCTAAGGATACTTTTTAAAAGCTCTTCTTTGTTCTTTTTATTTTTAATTTTTTTGTTCCTTTTGGGTCAAGCTACTCTATTTTTTCAACTTCATCCCATTCATGCTGTTTTCTTCAATAATCTGATGACCCTTGCCTCTCCCTTCTAATTCATGAATGAATGATTAGATAGTTTTAGTATAGACAACTGTTATAGTTTCTTTGAAGCAGACGATCAAGCTTCCTTTTAGGATATATGTGTTGAGAGAAGGTAGTACCTTTATTTTAAACTGAATATCAAATAAAGAGAATTTTGCTTTGGGGTTGTATTATTTTAGGGTATTTCACTCCTAAGTACAGCTGTCTTTTATGTCTTTCTCTAGGTCGGTAATAAAAGTTCACAGTCACTTTAGGATCTGCTCTACCATTCTACCATTCCAAACACTTAGACCATGGGGCCTAACCAGGTTAAGAATCAATTATGTTTACAAATCAGCTAAAGCTTGTTGTTATAGGGAATTACTCCAGATACACAGAAGAAAGAGAATGGCCCAGTAGGTCCAATACTCTGATCACTGCCATAGTTAGTTCCTGATCTCTACACTTGAAAATTCTAAGCTTGAAGTCTCTGAGTGCTCTCCATGTCAGGAACTCTCACTGTAGCCTTTTCCATTTCTGTTCTGGCTGCATTTTTCTCTACTCTAGTTTATTCCTCCACAGTCCTATCTACTTTACAACTTTGAGAACTGTGTCAAAATCTTTGTGAGTCTGATGGTACTCTTTTGTTTTCACCATCACCGTTGATTTATCCTTTATGCATGTTATCTTTATTGTGTCAATGGGTCTTTGGGAGAGAAAAACAGTGAATGCATGTGCCTGGCTCACCATCTTCCAAAACTGCTTTCTGAAATTCTTGTCCCTGCCCAAGCATACACCAATGTTTCACTCTGCTAAGAAAGATGGCCTATTTATTTAGCAGGAACACAAGTCAGATGTTATAATTTTAATAAGCCAATGTCAGCATTGGCTCCTGTAAATCTAATCACCAAGAACATGAATGTTGCTTCTACCAACAAAAGAAAACACAAGACTTTTCAAGTTCTCTCTCACCAATGGCCAGCTTCTGTCAAAGTTACAGTTAAAG